TTACATGTGTACAATAGGTTCGAGAATGCGCTAAAGCAGGTGCATCTGGCCTAGACGACGACAACAAGAGCGAATTGTTTACCCAAGACATGCTGCACTATGGCCTACAGCATTTGATGGCTCAAACCGACGACGACGAGCTGACGCCTCTGACTGCCGACCACGTGGCAGCTCTGTTGAATCGCCAGAGTTCGCCACCACCTGCAACCAAGCAGGCTCCGCTTGTGGAAGTGAAGGACGAAACAACCAATATGTACGTGTTTGAAGGGCACGACTACTCTGTCGCAACTGCCACCGCCGATGTCGCATGCCTCAAGAAGCTACAGCTACAAGCTGCCACGTCATCTCGACGGCCCCGTACGAAGCTAGCCACGTATGACTATGACGACGACGACGACGACAAGGACGAGACGGAGCAGCCAGTCAATTTGGACACGATCGAAGCTTTGAAACGACAAAAACTGGCGAGGAAGCTAGCGCTGTGGGCCAAGAACCACTACACGTCGTACGCGATTGATACTATCAACAGTGAAACTCCACGAAGTGATGATGTTCAAGACACTGAACAAGGTAATTATTTATATTATTATTGTACAAACCTTATTAGTGATGATGATAATATAATCCGATGGAATGTATTCGTATACTGTACTATATATTAAAGGTAATTATTACTATTATTATTATATGGACCTTATTAGTGATGATGACAATATAATCCGATATAAGACGACTATGTATTGTATTGTATTCTCATCTTGATATATTACTTTCAATTCCAAGGAGGCCATGGTATCACGTACAAGGCTGGGAACGCGGCGGCGGTGACGTCATCGGACGGCCGGCCAGCAATCATCGTGCATTGCGTCGACACGAGCGGCGCGTGGACGTCGCGGGGTTTCTTTGGCGCGCTCTCCCGTCGATCATTGTCGGTGGAAGAGGCATATGGATGCATGCGACCCAACCAGGATTTGAAACTCGGCCAGGCGCACTGCATCCCCATCGACTCGAACACGTTCGTGTGCTTGTTGGTGGTGCAGAGCTACCTCCACCAGCGCCAAAAGCGCACGCACAAGACCCTCTCGCTGCGTCTGAACGCGCTGCAAGTGGCGCTCAAGGTGGTGGCGGCTCACGCGCGGCGGCTCAATGCGACCATCCACATGCCAAGACTGGGCGCGGGCACCCCCGGGTTCAACTGGTACGCCGTCGAGCGGTTGATAAGAAAACACTTGACGGACGGAGCGACTGTCTATTACTTTACACCATCGGCCAAGCGGCACAAGACGACAACAACCGCTCATGACAATCCACATACGAGTAGTACTACTAGTACATAGTTAGTAGTTGATACAACTCGACTAATAAATTCAAGCAAGCCTACGAGTAATAAAATATGCCACCAAATGACGTCGACTTGATGCATTGATCCGTTTGGTATATATATTTTCTAATACGAGGTGCAGTCCGAGGGGGGATGTTGATAGAGGGGGGTGGTCGTGATAATCATTCGGGTGTTGCTGGTTGCAGTACAGTACTTCGGTGGTAGACGATACAGATGGCTGGTGGTGTGATAGTAGCGCCCTGATCAAAACGACGCCACCACGATTCAACACGAGAAGGTAACGTCAGTCGAATCTATTACTAGGATATATCAATTGGCTCTTTCTAAAACTGCCAACGACTTGGCTATATATATAATATGAAATATTTATATATATATATAATTCCTACATTTACATGTGTACAATAGGTTCGAGAATGCGCTAAAGCAGGTGCATCTGGCCTAGACGACGACAACAAGAGCGAATTGTTTACCCAAGACATGCTGCACTATGGCCTACAGCATTTGATGGCTCAAACCGACGACGACGAGCTGACGCCTCTGACTGCCGACCACGTGGCAGCTCTGTTGAATCGCCAGAGTTCGCCACCACCTGCAACCAAGCAGGCTCCGCTTGTGGAAGTGAAGGACGAAACAACCAATATGTACGTGTTTGAAGGGCACGACTACTCTGTCGCAACTGCCACCGCCGATGTCGCATGCCTCAAGAAGCTACAGCTACAAGCTGCCACGTCATCTCGACGGCCCCGTACGAAGCTAG